TGGAATACAGCCTTTGCTTCTCCAGACTGAGAAGTCACAGCTGCGATGGCTTGGGCATGTGTTGCGAATGGCTCCAGAAAGGAAGGCTATGCAACTGTTTCTTGTCAAACCGACCGGCAGAAAACCCAGAGAACGGCCAAGATTAACTTGTGCCAACATATGGAAGGAGTCTGTTCCAGACTTCATATGTCTTCTGCTGTAGCTCAGATTCTGGCACAAGATCGGGAACGTTTGAAGCTCTGCATGACACATCTGCCTCCGCGAGCAGAAAGGAAAAGCGGTCATGGAGGATGAAGATGAAGTAACATTGAAAATATCCCCGGAATTGTTTATGCGGAAAGTGATACTGCACGTGGCTAAGTGACAGACACGTTTTATTTTAAAAATTTGAGGTACTGCTGTGCCATCTGTCACTCAGCCCAAATTAAATATGGCAAATAATTAGTCCTCTTTCCATAGTCCTTGCACAGGTTTAAAACTGGACCATTACCTGATTGGAATAAAATATTCAACATTGGGTTTAAGACATATTTAAATATTTCAGTCAAAGTATTTACTAATGAGCAAATATATCTTCCGATTCTACAGAGGGAAGGTAATCTGTTTTGCACTGTTCTGATTTCGTTAGAAACATCTTAAACTCACAAGAATGCTGTACAATGGAGGAATCGTTCGAGAGAGAGACAGATTTCGTTACGTCATAGGAAAAATTGAAAGTTATAATAAAAGCATTTATTCAGAAAGCAAGCAATATGGTGTCCTACCATCTACCCTATGTTTTTCAATTAATGGCGACCTTTGTAATCGAATGACTTCAATGATATCTTATAAAGTTGGCGGCCGCCGATCACTCTTTATTGCCTTGTTTGAAGACGGAGTTCAAACGTTGCCTCAAATTAGTCCAGCAGATTTCGACATGCAATAAACTAACCCGGTTCTGGTGAATGTAACTGTTTTTTTCGCAATCCAAACGACTCGGTTTGTTTGCAGTTATCCGTGTTCACGGATCGGCCTAAGCGAGAAAGTGTGTTCAATCATGAGGAGTCTGCGACATCGGCTCGAGTCACATGAATTTTCCAAAAATATGCATGAGTTGCAATGTCCCCCCCCCGCCTCTCCACCAGAATAAAATGCACCTTTTGGATTTGAACTCGAAGCTGGCCGTTAGCGGGACAGTTTCTACTGCGATCCTGTTTGCATGGCGTTCAGAACCGCAGTGGCAATACGCAGAGACGGCAGGAGCAACTACAGCACCGAACCCATCTGCAAAGGTACTAGTTCGCTTCGAGGCGTTCTTCTGAACGAAATGACGTTTACTCGTTCAGCCAGTCGTTGCCTTTGTTCCACGATCCCTCGGTTAGTGATAGTTGAACGTTCAACGAGAAATTAATGGGACTCCTTCATAACTTCAATAAATCTACTTGATAGACATGAATTTCCTATTTTCTTCTTCGGTCACCAATAGAGTACAGCCAGCAGACCACAATAACCAGGCACACTCCTAGACTCATTCACCAATTGAGTGTATAACCTTAAGAGCAACTGGTAGAGAGCATTTTCTCCGCCTAATTTAAGTTTAAGTACTAAGCGGATTCTTGAATGCCCCAAACCCTTACAGGCACAAGTAACAAACAGCTCATAGTCCATGGGACGTGAAACCCGTCCAACGTCACTCTAGGTTTGTCAAGCCCACTATCTTAGAGCCAGTGACCGGTAAACAAGCGAACAGTTGTTGGAGCCGGTTGGTCGAAACTCGTTCGGCTCTGTCCTCTCTTCTATCACAAAATCAACTACGGTGATTTGCCGAAAAAAGACGAGGTCGACTGGAACTCCTCCAGCTCACCCTTAGTTCGCTGAGTTATGCCGCTTGCAGACAAGGAGAGAACATCACTCACGCTCGGTTAGCTGAAACTCGTCAAGCGCCATATTCAGCGGCTTATAGGAAGGGAAGAGTTTACTGAGTTCACGCCGTTCAGACTCGCTGACCATTGCACGGTACAGCGGCTTGTCGGCGCGGAACGAAGAGTACTGGGATTTCGTCAACTGGAACTCGTCCAGCACAGTTGACTGTTCACCTGCTTCGAACCGTTTGGCAATGCTCCTCGCTTTGTATAATAAGAGCCCCGTCTTGAGAGGCAGCCATAATTTAGACTCAACATAAATATACCTCAAAAAAAGTTGGCTGTCGGCTCTACTTCTTTTCATCAATTTCCACAAGGCTCTTCTACGAGTGTGGCACAAGATGGCGCAACATTCCTGTATCACGAAGGGCTTGTTCGCTTTCGCCCATCGGAATTGTCCGCCCTCATTTAGCCTCTTGTGCAAACAACTCTAAAAACAGAGCACTTTAAAACTGAGGCATGAATTACAAGCATGGAAAGAAAAAACGCACCTTGGAAATGTAGCCTTATGCCAAAATTTCACCAACCGCCGCGCCTCGCTTTGCCTTGTACACACAAATCAGAGTAGAACGAGAGTGAACGATACTGATCGGTGATAACAAACCTGATTATGATCACTCAGTGAAATGCAACGGACTTGTGCGGCATATTTCGGTGTGATTTCCATGAGTAGATTTCCACAGGAAGAAAACTGTTCAGTTTCTGCCATCCAAATTTCCGTTCAACTTTTCTCAGAATGACTCGACAGCACCATCTTCAGGCATGGACATTGCCGAATTTTGAAAGCCATGCAAATTTCTTTATGGAGAGTTCAGCAGCCTGCCCTGTGGTAGTGCAAGTTTCACTGAAACGATGATCACTCAGTGAATCTAAAAAACAAGACAAAAATTGCTACTTCCATAACCAATCCCGAATGCTACCACAACCTCCTAATTCATCCCAGGTCTTCAGCCTGCCACTCTTTACGGATTGATATCTGAAGCACGATGGGACGAATTGCTTGCTCAAAGGAATTTGCATTTCACTGAAATGCACTTAGGTTTACGTGGCCTTGCATGAACTCTTTGAGACAGATTCAAGAAGGCAAATTTTATGTGATTGTTTCAGCGCATTTCACGCATAGATGAATCTTTGCTTTAGATTGATTAATATCACGTACTTCGAACATTCCTGAGGAATTATATAGTAAAATGTCAACCTGGCAGAGTACATACCAAATTACACGTACCGTACTGTGACATCGTCAACGCTGTGCTGCAAGGACGAGAATGAAAAGCCTAGACTAAAGGTCAGAGACTCACTTTCTGTAATACTGAAAAATACTACTCTTTCGACTATAACCCGGCAAAAGGTCAATTATATTTAGAACTATAGATAACGTTAGACTGCGCATCATCAATTTCATTTTGATAATATATCGCACTGGTCTGAGCTCAGCGATTCGCAAATCGGTTTGTGACTCGGCCGTTTACATTCGACATACGCGTGCAAATGCAGTCGACTGCGATTATCCATATTATTCCCTCTGCATGACGACTTTCAATAAAAGCGTGATATTTTTGACTCCCTGTACCTCATGGTATCGCCGTCATCGAACATTATTCTATCTAGATCGTCTTCCGCGTGACCACATGCCCGTTGGGGGTCTGTGAGAGGTCGGCTATCAGAACCTGCACATCGTCTTCTGGCAGTCGGGGCGTAGCAGCACGACAACGGCTACCGAAGATCGACAAAATGATGGCGAGGAAACGAATGAGGAGAACAGTTGTGAATACTGTATCGCAGTTGTATGTTTGGTCTTGCTACCCTGGCGTAAAATATGACTCATCCATACGGGTCGTAACCAGCGCGCTTGATGGTATAACCGACCACGACAGTGGCTATACACGCAGGCTTACATGCAGACACCAGTGTATAGGATAAGAATCAGTTACGGGCGCCCGCTCTGCTTTCAAATGCATCCCTCGCCCTCACGGCAACCTCGCGATAGCGGAAAAAAATATCGTGGCAGTGTATTGGCGACATTTCTTCATTGTATTCTTCC